AACGGAGCGCAGCGTGGCCCCGATTGCAGAGCAGCGCAAAAGGTTTTAAAACTGCTCGCGCTATATATTTCTTTTATACGATGTGCAAAAAGCTAAGAAATATTCTTCGACGCATGTATACAAACGCCAACCTATGCACATTGAGATGGCTCATGAAAAGGGGTGACACTAGACGAAATAGTGAAGTTCATTAAACATCTGATTTACAAAGGGATTCTTCACATCACGGGCATCCAACTATATTACAACACATGAAGGCTCCTATTGCAAAAAAATATATTAGTGAGAAAATTCAACAAGTTTCTTTGTGTCTCACGGAATACCAAGCAATGCTTCACCGCATGGCACAAGCAACAAAGCATCACCTCAGTCTCGGTTTTCTTTGTCTATGTGAATGGAAACGTTTTGTACAAAATTTAATATTTTTTATATTGTTCCTGGGTCATTTGTATTCAAAATGTATATTCTGTTTCTTTTTTGTATTGAATATTTATGCATATATAGTATTATTTATTGCACTTTTTACCAGTTGGCACCCAAAAATTATACACTTTTCACATTTTTATTCATTCGAAGATATATTTGTTGCTCCACAGTATATATTTTCAGAAAGAGCATTTTATTGTGCAAAATTTGGTATGCTGCAAAGCGTGCTAGAGTACTTTTCAAACTGGCAAAAGCGATCTTTCCAAGACTTATGAAAAATAACCATTTTCGCATGGTAACAAAAAAGTTAAACAAATAATCACTTTCAAACCAAATAAAAATATCTTACAGCCAATGCTTGCCAATGCTCGGCACTAATAATCAGTAGGAAGTGGCCAAGCATGGAGGACTATTAAACAACACAAGCATCTCAAGCTTCCCAATTTAATGTCAGGGATGATTTAACGTGCTCTAGATATGCATTTTTTTTTTTGCTCTAATAGCAACATTTCACTGCTCCTAATTCTCTTGCAACTGTATCACACCTCTTTTCCAGCACCTTCTTTAGTGGCCACAAAGGTAAAGGCACTGGCTCCTGTTTCTTCGAGCATAACATTTATATAGCACATTTTACACAGTTTGGATCAAAGTACAGCTTAAGTTTCTAATACGTTGGCTCCACAACAAATGCAATTTTTTTTGTATTAGTGTGTAATGCTTCTAATTTGGCTGGTGACTGTATAGTTTGCAATGGCAACTACAGGCTGGAAGATTTATTTGGAGGTTATGTTCCCAGACAAGCTTCATCTGACATTTCACGTGTAGCGATTCTGGTGGAGGCACGACATGCACCCTTACTGTATTGTACCTCTTGCGGATGTGCCCGGATACGTGCAACATTGGGTTGCGCAATTAATCAGTACAGTTTGTGTGCTCTAGATATAGGAGGCGGGATTCAGTAACTGACATTCTGAATTCGTGCAATTTAGAACCACTGGAAATTTGAAGACAAAAACAAAAACTTAAAACGTTACATCGTATAATGCAAGGGATATTAAAAATACCTAAAGACGAGTACATACTTTTTCCCGGAAAACGTAACGCTAGATTGAATCATAGAGCCTCCATTAAACCTTTTAACACTCACACTGACATCTTCCGGTGGTCATTTTTTCCGGATGCTATAGAACAATGGAATTGTTTACCCTATCATGTTGTTAATAGTACCGATGTGCAATCTTTTGAGAGAGAAATTGGTGCTTAATTCATCATGGTTGAATTGAAATACTGCCAATTTTGGTTTCTTGTGTGCATTGCTATTTGAGTGCCAGTTGTTTTGGTATTTTGTTTGTACGTACTATTATACTTCCTCCCTGTTATGACCCTCAAGCGAGGGTTGACAGTAATACTAAATTAATAAAAATAAATAAATGAATAAATAATTCTTTCTGTTTGCCGTCGAATTTCGCTCCATAGTCTTGTACTCCCACATACTGCACAGATATGATTCCTCGCAGTTTGGGTGCCTCACCTGGCAGCGCTGCTGAGAGAAAGCGTGCCATCACACAACTGCCATCAACAGCTCAACCACATGGCATTGATGGTAGTGGTGATCGAGGGGATAGCGAGAGCCAGTGATATGGCTGCCTTCTCCGGAAATATGACGCATATAGCTGGCCTTGTGGTGACCACCACAAGAAGTAATTTACACGGGTTTAAAGGATATTCTGTGTCATCTATGTGTCACACCTTTAAACGTGGTTTGGTCGAGTGTGGTCTGTCAAGCCTGCTTGTGCATAGCATCAATACTGCTTTCATTGAGTGTAGCACAGTGTAACTATGCCCACTGCAAGACAAAGGCCTCACTCATTGTTAGTTTATGCCTAATAAAAAGAACGAGAGTAGCATAAACAATATACAGACCATATAATTTGCATTGTGACAATATATGAAATAGTACAATATTGTCTGTCTTTCACATTAGAATGCAGGATATTGCTACCGTTGTCCTAACACACAAATTTGTGTAATCTTTTGAGAAGCTATTTGTCTTTTGGAAGCATAATGACCTTGGTTTGCAGCCACTGGAATGCACTAAAGGTAAGTCTTTATTGATTTTGAAAAAACTGGTAGAGCGAATGTGTCCACTGGCTCCATTTGCAGCCAATATTTTTATGCCTTAGGTTATATATCACACCAATTTATTTGTCCACAGAAAATAATGCTTCCCGTTTTTTTTTCTAGGATTCAGGTTGCACCACTGTGGAAACTTGGGCACCTTGCAACCATGGGGATTCACATGACATCACCTGCGAAGTAATGCCTGGTATTAAAATACAAGTACAATTCTGCACAATAAAGTCCAATCCAATAAAATCTAAGCCTTTCTTATGAGTTGTGAATGCAAAGCAACTGGAAACACTCAGTTGAAGATTAGGCAGTCATAGCAGTAGCCTGCGTGTCAACGCTGCTTTTCCCCAGTATTCAAAATTATTATGTTGTTTTCATACATTTATTTTCTTTCTGGTGATCACTAAGACAAATATCGAAGTCAAGCAAGAACATGTGCATCGTCTGTACCTGGATCAGACAAGAAAAATGGCACCATCCAGTCCAGCAGCTTGTTAAAAGTCCAGCCGATTGCATGGTTAAGTTGGCTGAGTAGTAAGAGATTTATGTTTGAGGTAGTGCCTGTTAGAATGGTTTGCCAAATGACTTGCGTTATTTTCTTCTATCCCAATGACCCCGATTCGAGGCCATTTGTTCAAGCTAGGTGGAGATGATTTCGAACCAAACATTTTGTACTTTCAACTTGAATTTCTCACGTGGAAAGCAGAGCATTACCTTACTTAAGCTCAATGAGATGGCCCTCGATGGCCTGCATCTGTGATACACAGCATGTATGAAAATGGCATTTCTCAGCGAACATAAACTTCTTTGTCCTTGAGGGAAGCGCTTATTTTTTTCTTGAGGTTTTCATGGTTTCTTTTTAGTTAGTATGTTGTACAGCACCACTACAGGGTGTTCAGTCAAGTTCTAATCAATTTTTAGGCATAATTTTTGTTGTAAATTTCAGTAAACAGACGTTCAAATTGCTTGTCACCAATCGGTGTCTATGAGTCTTATGAGCACACTATTGATGATGAGAAGGCACCTGACTGAAGAAGAAAGGCAATTTCTTCCTACAAAAACATGCTGCTGATCTTTCACATTCTGATGATTCTGAAATTATTGGCAATGATGCTTACAATGGCAGCCATGTGGAGCATGATAGTGAGGACAGCCATGGCCAACAAGACGCCTCAATTGGCATGATGCTTGAAACAAGGAGAGCAGTGAAGAGGAGGAGGAGAACGTCAAAATAATGTGCTTTGTCAAGTGGAAAGACCGTATGGTTCAATGACAGAAGGAAGAATGTGAATGGTTGCTAAGTAAGAGAATTATGACCGATGTTGACTTCACCAGCTGCTTTGTGCCCTACTCTCACATTTATTGAACACAAGGAAGAACACTATCTCAATGTTCACTCAGTCTTCGTATATAACATTCATGATCTAATGAGAGGATGAAATGTAAGAGCAAGCAATGGTCTCGAAAACTCGAGTTGACCTAAAAACGAACACGGCAACATGTTTAACTAAAGCGTCAGCTGCTGTGTCTGATGGACAATGTAACGGAGGAGAAAATGAAAAAGGAAATTAAAGCAAGGAAATGTTTACCGGCCGACAGAGGCGCAAGATGACTCTGCCACCACCAGGCAACGTGAGATATGACGTTTGAGGCAACGTTCCTGCAAACCCTAAGCTCGGATGAAGAAGAAGAAGAAGCAGAAAATTGCGTATGGAGATATATCTAGAGCGAATTCTTCAAAGTGTGTTCTCTGTAGCCTCCAGAATAGAAACTGCTGTGAGGGCTTCCACACCTGTTAGGACCCAGGGGCCTCATTTGAAGTCAGCTATGTTTGTTCAGTTCTTTTTTTGTTGTTGTTGATCCAAATTATTTTTTTCTCTTTTGCTGTATGCTCAAGACCGCAATAAAGAAGCTTCAAATGAACTTACCAGCAATTTTGTTTTAAGGACTGAGAAGGCTATTGTTCTTATGCAGGGCAACTAGGTGTCATCATTTAAACTCTTAAAATAACACATGTTTTTGCTTGGCATAAGCTCTACCTACATTGGTACATACTTGTTGACCTTGGCCCACAGTGACCAAGACCAGCAATAGTTACATCATGAATCGGGTAATCACTTGATTTACATTGACAGCTTGAAACGTCATCGAGCGGGCAAGAAGGGATCCCATGACAGCAACTTCCATTTTTAAAAATTATATTGATAATTTCATCGTC